AACTGGGTTGCCCGGCCCTGGCCACGAGGTGTCCCTTATTTATTTTTCAGGGAGTTGGCAACCCTAGGTCCGCAGCTCCGAACTGTAGTAAAGGGACCTCTGGCTAATACGTCGGGTTCCGTGTAGCTGAAAACTAGCTTTACTTTGTTTTCTGTGTCAACTTTGCTAGTGAGAGACAGAGAGAGGCGTTGAAAGGCTGCTCCAACGAAACTCATTGTTTCGGAGGAAAACACGAACACGGTGTACAGTCGAGTCTTAATAGCTTACTTACAACTGGGCTCGTCAGGGACTCTTCTTGGCTGCAGTGGTTATTATTATATTTCCATGCTTCCAGCTCCCGTTTTTGCTCAGTGACAGCACGTACTTTCCGACTTTTTCTCCCTCCCTCGCTCACAGACACATAATGTGTATAGCAGTCCATTCTCCCTGCAGCACAGACTACACTGCCCATGATGCTACATTCTTTAGGGCTATGCCTGTAACACTCTGCTATTGCCTTCATATTAAATCATTTTTGTGAATAATTTTAAAAATATTTCTTCACGTCATTATGTAATGACGTGAAGTAGAGGTGACATGGGCCACAGGCATTAGAGCCTCTTAATGCACGTTTTGTTTGGGTTTCCACCAGCGTGGAAAGCAAAAATAAAGAGGGCATAGCCTTATGAAAAATGTAATCCATTCATTTCAACAAAGTAACTGTATTCTAAATACCACCCTTTTAAACGGTAACTCTAACGGTAACTGTACCACCGTTACGTATTTTAAATACGTAACGGTGGTACATGTATTCCGTTACTCCCCAACACTGCCTACGGGCAATTTAAAGATTCCAGTTAACCTGTCCCTACTACCTGCATGTCTTTGGTCTGTGGGAGGAAGCCAGGGTACGCAAACACGGGGAGAACATGCAAACACCACACAGAAAGACCCCGGCCTGATGGTGGAATTTAACTCAGGACCATCTTACTGTGAGGCAACAGTGCTCATGACTAGGGATGGGTATCGTTTAGGTTTTATCCGATACCGGTGCCAAATCGGTACTTTTGAAACGGTGCCGGTGCTTAAACGGTGCTCGAACCGGTGCTTAAAGAATGGAGAACACAAACTTTGTCCAAAAACCTCTCATGTTCAGCTGTTTTTTTTGGGGGG